CCATCGTCCAGGCAGGCAGGCGAGACCGAAGAAGTTAGACACGGCCTTCAGGTCGTTCTCGGGCGAGATCAGACCGGACCCACACGACAGCTTCAACTGCTTCATCTCCAGCAGCTGGTCGCAGGGCGTGGCAGTTAAGGGGCTTGTACATAAATAATTCATATAATTATATTTTACTATTAGATGAGAAATTCGCTTCTCATTTTAAAATTATCGACGATTGTAAAGGTGCTTGCACACGGGGACAGTAGTGACGGCCATTATAACATTGAAACAATAAAAAGAACTATTTGCCGGGTTGTTGGCCTCATGTGTGGCGCTTACGGCCACGGAAAGACCAGTAACTCTTTAACTAGTAACGCGGAAAGAACAGTAACTCTTAAACTAGTAACACGGAAGGACCCAGTAACTCCTTAACTAGTAACGCGGAAGGACCAGTAACTTCTTAACTAGTAACACGGAAACACCCAGTAACTCCTTAATTCTAGTAACGCGGAAGGACCAGTAACTCCTTAACTAGGTAGTAACGCGGAAGGACCAGTAACTCCTTAACTAGGTAGTAACGCGGAAGGACCAGTAACTCCTTAACTAGGTAGTAACGCGGAAGGACACAGTAACTAATTATCAGGTCAGTTAGCCTGGTAATTAGTGACGGTTGAGACGCGTAGGTACATAATAATATATATAATAATAATGATATATATAATAATGATAATAGTAATAATAATCTTTATAATAATAGTAATAAAATTAAAATTTAGATATTTCTATGCATTGTCTAGCAAGAGAGACATTTCTTTCTTACCTTCGGTGAATAATTAAAGAGAAAAATCGTATTAGTTTTTAGCTGTTGGCATCATAAGCTCAATAGCATGACTGGGTCATAAGTATGAACTCATTCATACTTATGATGAGCCCACGTAGGAGTTAGTATGAGTGAGCCAGGGTTGCCAGATGGTGGTAGGAGACACAAACCAAATCAGCTTATAAAAAATAGGCTATCGATCCATTATTTATCCCGTATTTGGTGATTTACAGGGCAACAATTCTTTTTTTTTTAATTTTTGTAATGCACTGAAAAATAAATAAGTTATAAGCCTTGGTAGATTTTTGCCGTTTAACACAGTAGGAAAAAGACAAAATTCGTCTAAATATGCCGGGATTGGAAAAAAGGCAAAATTCGTCTAAATATGCCAGAAAAAAAGCTAACGCAATTAAAAACGGCAACATTCGTCTAATTAGGCCGGAAAAAGGCACATATGAGCAGCAGTGTCTCACATGGGCGATGGGGATGTGCCAGCCGGCCGTACGGCCGTATCCTGTGTGGCAGGACGTGGCACCGCTCAGGTCCTTCAGACTCGCCACGGTCGCCCTCCGTACCACGGCCACGCCGTCATACCGCATCGATTCTGCACCGTAAATCAATAAAGGTAATTCATTCTACACATTAAATTAGGTCATATAATACATTCTGCACCATGAATCAGCTAATATAACTCATTCAGCTCAATAAATCAGGTAATATAATTCATTCAGCTCAATAAATCAGGTAATATAATTCATTCTGCACATTAAATTAGGTGATATAATTAATTCTGCACAATAAATTACGTGATATAATTCATTCTGCACCATAAATCAGTTAATGTTATTCATTCTGCACCATAAATCAGGTAATGTAATTCATTCTGCACCATAAATCAGTTAATATAATTCATTCTGCACCATAAATCAGTTAATATAATTCATTCTGCACCATATATGTCTCATCAGTTCTCGTTATTTGAAAAAAACATGCATTTTGATTCTACGAAAAAAAAATCTCGATTGTGAGATCGCACGTCTGAGTAATCTCACAGGCTCAGGTCCCCTAAAAAATCCCATTTAAACAGATCACCTAATAAATCTCGTACGTACCTTATTGGAAGGCGCCCAGGTACCTTATTGGACGGCGTCCACGTACCTTATTGGACGGCGTCCACGTACCTTATTGGACGGCGCCCACGTATCTTATTGGACGGCGCCCACGTACCTTATTGGACGGCGCCCACGTACCTTATTGGACGGCACTCACGTACCTTATTGGACGGCACTCTGGCGAGGTTGCAGGTCGCGAAGTCTACAATGTCTGCAGTGCCGCCCTGCCTACAGAGCAGTCTGTAGTCCTGGGTTCGCAAGTCTGCAGCCCACGTCGCGTTCAGCTGCCTCGAGTCTGCAGAATTCAGCGTAACTCGTGAATGTTTTATGACCTGTCTCTTATACACATCTAGATGTGTATAAGAGACAGGGGTACGCTGGCCCCCCCGCTCCCGACACTAGCAAGAAGAACAAAATAAAAAAATGTGAATAATAAATAAAATGTATAAAAAATAATGATATAATAATGATAATAATGATATAATAATAAAATGTATAAAAATTAAATAAATGTGAATAATAAATAAATGTTTATTTTAATAAAAAATGTGAATAATAAATTAAATAAATGTGAGGATATTTCGAATAATATGTATTCAAGAGAGTAAAGTTTAATTTTTATCAAACCGTTCAAATTTATGTTGTTGTTGCAGCCGATCATCTTTTTGATGAATTTGTTTTTTTCGTCGCTAGTTATCCGAAAGCTGGATCCAAATCCCGTGTACGGACCACGGACACACCGCGCTTGAAATATTGTAATATTTTATTGCTTTCACGTTTCCAACGAATTAATGAATCGTTTCTTAATTTGATTCAGATGAAAAGTTGTAATTTCGACACTACGTATCCTTTGGACTTTAATTTAAGGGTTGTAATTTTGACTGTAATTTTGACTATAAATTAATGGTTGTAATTTTGACTGTAATTTTGACTATAATTTAATGGTTGTAATTTTGACTGTAATTTGGACTATAATTTAATGATTGTAATTTTGACTGCACTTTGTACTATAATATAATGGTTTCAATGCTGACCCTCGCTGCCGACGCAGAGCTGGCAGAGCGACTCAGGGTTGCTGCCGTCGGGGTCGTAAGTCCGGGTCTTGACGCCAGGTACGCACGCCGCAGAGAAGAACCCTGCCACCTCCCCAGCGTAGTTACAGCTGCCGCGCCTCAGCAGACCTGCGTCCATCAGTGACACTATCGGCGCCTTCCAGCCTGTAGTGGAGAATGCGTAAGGTTCAGAGTTACAGCCTGTAGGATTCAATGCGTAAGGTTTAAAGTTAAAGCCTGTAGGGTTCAATGCGTAGGATCCAAAGTTACAGCCTGTAAGATTCAACATTCCAGCCTGTACGGTACAACGCGTAAGGTTCAAACTTCCAGCCTGTGGAGTTCAAGGCGTAGGATCCAAAGTTACAGCCTGTTATAAAGTTCAACAATCCAGCCTGTAGGTTTTAAGGCGTAAGATTCAAAGTTACAGCCTGCAAGGCTTAACAATCCAGCCTGTAGGCTACAACGCGTAAGATCCAACATTCCAGCCTGTATTGAGTTCAACATTCCAGCCTGTAGAGTTTAACAACCCAGCCTTTAGAGTTAAACACGGTACTCTTTAACGTTAACGTAGTGCAATTCTTCGTCTCCCCAGAGTACCCACCAGCCGTCTTGCCCACGCCGGTATGGCAGGACTTTTTGCCGCGCAGGTCAGCCAGCTTCGTGATGCCGGAGTTCGCCCTCACGACGGCCACGGCGAAGTAAGAGGATTCCTCCAGGCCGTACTTCTCGGCCACCAGCGGCCGTAGGTCGTACTCCCTACGGCGGGACATGACCGTATTGAATCGTTGTCTTAATTATCAGGCACATCACACAAGAATCAGTCAAATGACATAAGGGAACCACATATTACATTCATGTGGCGATCATGGAACTAACACTCACATGACTATGTGGCATGTGGTATCTGTTACATACCACACACGCCACACACCACATAACGCCTACGTGTGGTGATGAAACAAGCGACACTAACAATACCGTGGTGTCTGCTTCACACTACACTACACACCGCACAATACATTTCACAATACAAGAAACACACACATGTCCTCAGTAGACGTCAGCGGCACTCATCACTGCCAGGTCGGATTGGTCGTTCGTCAGCCACGGCCATATCGCACTCTTTGACCACACCACACACCACACACATCATACACGCCACACTACACATCACAATACACACAACTCACACATGTCCCCTGTAGACGTCAGCAGCACTCAGCACGGCCAGATCGGAGCGGTCGTCAGCCACGGCCATAGCGCAGTCCTTGGCTGTGCCTGACGCCAGCTCGCACGTCAGGTCAGGACGGATGCGGCGAGACTTCAGCACCTGACATCACAACGTCGTCCAAAATAATTAATATTCTAAAGGATTCATTTTTCTAAAATAATCCCTTTATTTTTATAATTCTATGAGGCTTAATGGCTTATTTCACGATGATTATTCTGGAAGGCTATTATAAGAGAAATATTCTAAGGGGGGCCACTGTAAAAGAGGTATGCTAAGAATCCAAGCATCTTAAAAGTATTACCCCACACCCTTCCTTCTTCTCACACGCGAGGTACACCCCAAATAAAAAATATTATTTTTATTAATTAAGTATTATTATCATTAATAATAATTATTATTATTGATTATTATTAAAAAGCTATTATTATTATAATCATCATGGCAGTGACAGCAAGCAGGACGACCTCTAACCTGTGACAGAGCGCGGCACTTGTCGAGCGCTGCGTCTGATGTCACGCACAACCTCAGGGGGTCTTCAGGACACCTCAGCCGCTCGATGGTGATGTCATACGCAGCTGGGGGAGAAGGTTATTATTATCTCGCTATCTTTTTAATACTTTATAATGAATTTATACTATATTTTTATGGATAATAATAGATCTTCAGGGCACCTTAGCCGCTCGATGGTGATGTCATACGCCGCTGGGGGGGAGAGAGGTTATCCTTACCTCGCTATCATTTTAATACTTTATAATGAATGTAAAATATAATATTAAGAATAATGATGGATCTTCGGGGCACCTCAGTCGCTCGATGGTGATGTCATACGCAGCTGGGGGAGGGAGGCGTTATTATTACCTCACTATCTTTCTTAATGCTTTATAATGAATGTATAATATAATTTTATGAACAATAATGCAACTATTTATATTAATACCAGTAATAATCTATTTTATTTAACTCATGAAGAGAATGCCTCAAATTAAAATCCCGGTGTCTTGCGCTTGCTTGCCTTGCGCACGATATGAGTCGATAAAACACAAATATTATTAGATAATATTGATTATCTGAGTACAATAGTTAAATTAACTCTACTAATGTGATATAATTCGAGACAGGTATGGAATTAATAAAAGCAATAAGTACGTATATCATCAGTCTGCTTAAATCGCACGTTCACCAAGAATTTAAAAGCCAAAAAAACATCAAGCAAATTACCAATATCTTCATAAAAAAAGCTCCGGATACCAGCTCCAATATCAGTTCAAATAAATTTAGAGAATATAATGAAGCGTCACAAATAACCCCGCTCCACAGTTCTGATGTTAATCAAATCTGGCGTAAATGAGAATACTTTCATCATCATGAAAGTGCAAACATTAACATCAAAAGTGCTCTATCCTGTGGTAGTCATCCAGCTAGCGTTTAGCTTACCTGTATGGCAACAGGATAAGTCATTGAGATAACCCGTTGTACAGTGTTGTTCAGTTCGTAATAAAGCTCTGCCCACTACGGTGTCACTTCTTTTGGCAGTTTATACGTTAAACCTCGGTCACATCAATCCCATACCTGTGTGGAGGTACTTTGCTCTATCCCATACCTGTGTGGAGGTACTTTGCTGTATCCCATACCTGTGTGGAGGTACTTTGCTCTATCCCATACCTGTGTGGAGGTACTTTGCTCTGTCCCATACCTGTGTGGAGGTACTTTGCTCTATCCCATACCTGTGTGGAGGTACTTTGCTCTGTCCCATACCTGTGTGGAGGTACTTTGCTCTATCCCATACCTGTGTGGAGGTACTTTGCTCTGTCCCATACCTGTGTGGAGGTACTTTGCTCTATCCCATACC